TGAGGCTTTCACCGCCAGGCGAAGCTGTGCATTCACACACATTCAGGTTTTACTGTGCAGGTGTTAAGCTTATCCGCAGCAACTCTGAGTACAAAGACATCAACAGGAAGCTTTCTGCAGCGCTCCTCTAATCTCTCTGGATAAGAGCTGAACGCCTTCAAGAAGACGGCACTATGAATATAAAGCTAGATTACATTTTCAATTCTCAGTGAGCAAAACGCAGGGATTAAATGCTGAAAGTGAACCAAGACAAAGAATATTAACACACATTCCTGTGCTCATTACATGTCTGAGAGCTTTGCTGCCACTTTAAGAACAAACACAGGCTGTGCGACTGTCGGAGTCATAAACTGAGAGGATTAGGATCAATTAGGAGCCATTAGCTGCTGTGGAACTCTTATTTTTCCAAGCAGCAGTTTTACTAACAGTTGTTACCTGTTTCTGACACTGGGTCTCTCTCACAGCTCCCTCCGCACGCTGCCATCAGCAACAACTGCCTCATTAAAACACTGATTTCCTTCCTGTCAGTGAGGAAATCCTCCGCTTAAAGAAATCACAGCGAGACGGCTCAACAGAAACCTTTTTATGCTTTAAATAAAGTACAAGTTTCGGCAGCATGCTTTCATTAAAAATGCTTTTAAAAATGAATTTGTTGAGCATTTGTGCTTTTATTTTGACAGGAAATGAGAGGAGAGGTCTGTTCTATCAGGGGTCAGTTTATTAGGTACACCTGGCTAAAACAAATGCATCAGTACACAGTGTGTGATTTTGTCACAGACTAAAGACGACCAGCGGTAAAGAAATGTGGCGATATCTTTGGTGGTCCTACGTCACACAGTCAGAGAGGATCAATCAGTGTGATGCTGTCACCACTTACATCTACTAACCAACCAATAGAAATGCAGCATTCAACGACTTTGGAGTGAGACCGCGTTGTTTCCTCAGACACAACCACACACACATCTCCTCCTCCTCTACTTCAGACTTTTTTGAGAGATAAACACCACTGTAGCGAGGGCTTGATTCATGTTTTCATTTTCCTCTGACAGCTACAGCGGCGTAGACGGATGCTGTACGCTGATGACGTTTTGTTCTATCGTCAATGGCCGTACATCGTAGCCTGTGAATCAGTTGGCGCTGTCATCGTACAGTCTGCAGACACCTAACCTGATGTCGTACCTGAGTTCATCAGATCCATGTGACACAATGTAGCTGCGCTAAACTTATCAGACCGATCAGATCTCTCAGTCTATGGGAGGATGAACACATCTGTCCTTCATGAAGGTTAAAACGTTCAGTCGTCACATTTTAGTCACAATCTCTGTTTGGCCCTGCGGTCACCTCGCCATTCGTTCCTCTGTCCGTCTTCTGATTGTAGTTGGACAACATTAGATTGGGTGAAACATTAATGACGACCATGTGGCGTTGTTTCAGCGAGCGCAGCGTGAGCCGGCGTCACTGTCGCAGCGCTTTACTTTGACTCAAGTGTGACGACACTTGATTTGGTTCGAAGCTTTGTAGCCACGTTTACAAAGAGGCTTTGATTTTGGTCGGGCGTCCGCCTGTCGCTCCGTCACCACAACAGTTCCACATTTCGCCTCTGGCACCAATTCTGTGGAGCAGTGAAGGTGGACTGGGCCTCAGTTCAACATGTGATGGACTGTTTGACTCTGCTGGCATGTTGCTGGCTGCAATAATCTCATCCTGTCGTCGGCCGTCAGAGTTACAAACAGTTACAGATTCAGTGGAGACTTTAACACAACTTAAATCCACCTCAGTGTCTCAGACTGTGCGTCGGCTCTATTGTCTCCTCACTTCACCTCCTCCTCTCCCACTGTATTTCCATCATTTCACTTCCTCTCCTCGTCTGCCTCTGACTGTCTGCGCCTCACCTCCCTGCGTACGCTACAACAAAGGCAGCTCAGTGCTGCATCTGGCTGGTGGAGAGCGCGCCGAGGGGTGGAGACACTTTCTGTCTCTCTGGAGTCATGCTAGCAGACAGAGCAGGACGTGTAAAGCCATCCCTCATCGTTCTTTGTTCACCTGCACCTGAACTCGGCACGTCTCCCGATGCCAAAACAGCTCACATCACGGTGGAGCGCAGAGCGGGGCATTACCAGCCAGGGAGCAGCGCCGGCGTTTGATCTGTGTGATAGTGGCGTTTAGTTTGGTGCACTGGGGAGACGCTTTAATGCGAGCACAGCCAGACAGTGAGCGGTTATGAGAGCCATATAATTCCAATTACAGACATAAAACTCAGATAAATCTAATCAGCTGCATAAATCCAGCCACAGTCACATAAGTGCCAATAAACGCTTGGCTCTGACAGACACCATCCTTCATCACGGCGACACGTCAAACTCCAAACTGCAGATTAACTGTTGACAACACAAGAAACACTTTGCTCTCTTCACCTGATCAATAAGCTCTGCTGATGATTCACAGTTTGGGACACAGAATCCATCGAGTTATCGAGCACATGAAGATATGGAGACTTTATCAGGAGTCAGAGGGGCTGTGGTCTGTACATGGACCATGTGCATGTGTGTAAACATGTGCTGATGTGTGTCTGCTTTACATGGATACCACATGTACACATGTTGTTATCTGAGTAAGATGGTCCTTTTTTGGTAGTTATTGATCTCCTCATTTTATCCCTGTATGTTTTTTGTTTCCCTTCTCTTGTCACTCTTTATATGATGCGTCTTAGTCGTCACATGTCGTGCGTCTCCTCCTGCACAGCTACAGAGCACTTCAAGATGCACAGACACAGTATATTCAGGAGGTTTGCAGACGCAGAGCGGCGATGCTGATGGGTTGGTTGATTGATTGATCTGAGCTCAGTTGAGATGAGCTTTGTATATTTAATATCTCAGACTGTTGTTTATTTATCTGTATTAATAGTTAATAATAAGTTTGGGACAGTTGGTGACAATTTCATTTTTTAAATGAGACATGAAGAGTGAGAAGGAGGGAGGATTATATCAGTGTACACGTCTTCCTGCTGTTTTTGAACATGGCTGCTGATGTTTTGTTTTAATTTTTGTTTTGCTTGAAATAAAGTCATTCATTCATTCATTCATTCATTCATTCAGTCATTCATTCATCCTGAGCCAGCCGGGCAGGGGAGGGAAGCATTAGACAATACAGTAATTTTTTCTCTCTGGAGTTTCAATAACTGTAAAACCTGTAAAACACACAGACGTATATTGATGATGTGTCTGTGTAGATATGATTAATTATTAATACTCTGCAAAGAAACTAAATAAAAAAGAAATGATCACAAATAAATAATCATGTGCAGGTGAGTATCAGGTTTTGCCACCTATTATCGAAACTCTTCATCTGTGTTATTTATTCCAGTTAAATCACAGTCAGGTGCATGTTTTGTTTAAGACACTTGTATTTGACTTTATTCCTGCTGGGTGTCTTTTCTTTGTCAGAAATATATTAAATATGCTGTTTGTCTATTCAGAAATAATTGTAGTCTCCAATAAAGCAAATAAAAATCACCAGACAGGAAGCAGCGAACCAGGTGGACAGGAAACACAGAAGGGACTGTGGGAGGAGCGAGAACGTGTCTCTGTTCAGTTGTTGTGTGGAGGACGAGGACGAACTGGAGGAGTGAACACATCTTAATTTGTGAAACAGTTCTCGTCTCATTCCCTCTGAAATATCTCCAACAGAGGCTGACAGAGAGCCAAGGTGACAGAGTCCAGATGTTTTTATTAAATGCAGTTTATCTTTATGATTTATATGGCTGCTGAATTAACAAGAACACTGTCGACATGTGACACCTTTTATCTGGTGTTTCTACACTTATGTGTTTTTGTAAAAAAAATGTTAAATGTCATATTTCTTAAAGGGACTTTGGGTCATATTTTCCACCAGGAGCAGGATGGGAAATCATCTCAGAAGGAATCTAGCTGTAGTCTGTGAACAGTGACGCTGAAGGAGCTGCAGTCAGATAAGAAAATGTGGGTGTCACACATGAAGTCTTCCTCATTCCTCCAGAATTCATACCTTTGCAGAAAAACTAACTCTAAACCATGTAAATAAATCTGTATCTTTTATAAATGAATCTGTGTCTTGTCCTGTGTGACCTCTGTGTGACCTCTGTGTGACCTCTCCCAGCAGCCAGCAGCTCGTCTCTGGCTTCACGCAGCAGGCTGCAGCAGGCTGCAGCAGGCTGCAGCAGGCTGCAGCAGGTGCTGCTCATTAAGCTTAACGACGCAGCTCGTGGCGCCTTAATGGAGCTCAGGTTGTATTTTTCACATGAGAATTCCTCAACACATTAACGCTGTGAGTTAAGAACACTGTCGCTAGGTGACAAATGAAACTGGAGGCTGCTTTGTTCACTCGTTAAAAAATGGAAAGTGATTGTGTTTTTTTTGTTTCACATTTCATGAAGATGTTCAGGCGACAAAAAAACTGCAAAACTGTATCAATGAGGTGAAAATAAAAGCCCACATTCAGAGTTCACTTTGACATCTGCAGCTAAAGACCATTGTTGAATATGAAAACTGATTTTAGTTTCCTCCTGTTTCTACTTGTGTTCATTGTTTCTGCTCCAAGAGTTTTATACAAGTGTGTATTCAGAGCTTGATCAAATAACTGATCAGTTGTCGACTATTAAAATAATCAACAATTCATTTGATTTTTGATTAGTTTGTTTGAATCTTTTAAGAAAAGCTTCTTAAATATGAATATTTTCTGTCTTTTTAACAACAGTACATTTAACATCTTTGAATATCTTTGAGGATGTCATCTTTTACACTGACTGTCAGTTTTAACTTTTCTCTCACAAACATTTAAACAATTCATCTGGAAAATAACTGATGATGAAAATAACTGATGATGAAAATAACTGTCAGCTGCAGCTCAGGGTTGTTTTTACCATGAGCTCATGTTGCTGCTGGTCAACTACCTTTTCTTACATGACATTGTTTAAAAAAAAAAAAAAAAAAAAAGGTAGTTAAAAATAATAATGAAGAATTCACCATTTCCATTACCTGCATCTTCTGGATCTTCATCATAATCTTCATCATCACCAGACGACAGAGAATCTTAAAGGAAAACACAAACAGTGAAATTAATGGTCAGATTAACGACAAATCTCACAGGTGCAGATGATTTCTGGGGGGACAGCGGACACGTCCCCGTCAGTATTTGACACGTCTATTTGTCCCCTTCAACAAAAACATTAAAGTAGCAAAGGACTTTTATTTTGAAGACACTGCCGCCATAAATTGATGCAGGACACATTTCTGGAGGGAGGAGCCCAAACCCCTCGTTACATTCGTGTCCCCGAACATTAAAACTAAACCTGCACTCTGATATTTTGCGTCTGATCTAATCCATCTGGACGTCATCTTCATTCTTTGACTCGTTGAACTCCGTTAACCATCAGATAACACAGCGAGTCCATCTGGTAAAGCTCCACCACTGATCCTGCGCACGACAAGAGGAACAAATGCAGCAGGAATTCTGCGCACGTTAAACGCCCGGTGGAGATTAAATGGTGTGTGTTCACCAACAAACGACTGGACAAACACACACACACACACACACACACAAACACACACACACACACAAGTGCATGAACGCATATTAAACCTGCTCATTGAGAAAGTCATGAATGAGCGTTCAGTTCTCGACAACCCAAACATTTCCACACACGTTAGAGTCATTAGTGCTGCTGTGTGTTCACGTGTACACACACACACACACACACACACACGCAAAAAAACCTCACAGACGCTAACTCTTGCTAACAGTTAGCGTGTCGGATGACGTCTAATTATTGTGCAGACTGGACGCTTTAGCTTCGCTGTATCGCACATTTTCACGGCTGTGTTGTAATTATTTTCAATCTGACCTCCAAGTTTTCTGGTTCAGCTCCGCAGGTCTGCGTAATGAGAGCCAGCTGTTCCCCCGACAACCGCCGTGAGCTCAAACTGCTCCTGGAAGTCCTGGAGGGGAGGGTTTAGCTTCTATGATCTGACACCTCCGTCCTCGGCTCTGCTGCTGTCTGACTCACACTACCAGCTCTGTCACTGTAAAACTAAAATAAAACTATTGTGTGTGTCCAAATGAAGCTCACAGCAGAACACTGTGAGGGAGTGATTACAGAACACAGAGAGATCAGAGAAAAGCTGAACCTGAATCAGCAAACATTACAACTTCTCCCCTCGACAGTAACAACAAACAGTATATACTCGATGTATCAGGAGGTCAAAATGTCACTGAAAGATCCACAAACGTTCAGACCTTGTGCCAAGATATTTTTCCTGGATCAATAATGAACCTTCAGGCTCAGTAAATTCAGCTGCTGAAACGACTTTCAGCTAATATCAGGATCCCATCACACGACTTTTCAAAGACTGCTGATAAAACGTCTCATCATATAATACACTCACAACGTATAACATGAAAAAACTGCAAAGTACACATTACTCAAAGTGTTAATTACTATAGACGGTCCACAGACACTAGCACCGATGTGGTCCACTGGTTATTAAATGACGTTAAAATGAAACCAAAGTGCTCGTTGGCGCTCTGAGTGACAGCTGCAGCTGCCCGTGTCAATCGCTCCATCTCCAAAACACAGTTAAAAGTTGTTGTGGGGCAAAGACATGGAAACTTTGGGATTCATGACCCGACACGTGAAATCACAGTCACATTGTTTTTCAATGTCACTCATGATGCGTTTCACAGCTACGTTACATCAGCAGCTACAGAAAACACATTTGCTGTTATGTCTCATTACGCAGACGATTACTAGAACAATTAATTTCATTACAAACAATAAATTTAAAGAGATTTTTTCTAACTCCATGATTTTTCCAGGCCTGGAAAAGGAGGCTGTGGAATTTCATGAATTTTCCATGACCGTGGGAACCCTGGAACATGGTGGGCTCTGTACAGAACCTGCTGTTTGACTTTACAAGAAAAAAAATATTTTTGTGAAGTAAAACAAGAAGGATGGACGAACATGGTGAAAACAAGACTCAATTTGAAACAGTGGATTTGCCAATCAGGATACAACTCCAGGTGAGGAAGTACGGACATTTAATTCACATTTTTGTGGACGTTTTAATAATATTTTTTGAATGTTTTATCAACTTTTTTTTTGGACATTTTATCAACAGACACCAAAGGTCTCGTCCACACGTAAGCTACAGGGGGGTGTTTTTCAACATCTAGCTTTTTCTGCATCACAGTTCACTGGAAACAGAGCTTTTGTAAAACTCCGACGATGTTCAAGAACTCTGTTTTCAGTTTTGACATACATATATAGACCAAACCACTGTTTATATATTTACAATAACTGAGTAGAAAACCCTCGAGTCAAGTACATAAAATCAAACGGCGCTGAGCTAACGCTGCCTCAACTGGTTCCTCCTAAAAACCGCCCACCAAAGCCAAAGTGAGTTTCAGTGTACGCTATGGTTAGACCGCTGTACCTCACAGTCAGACAGCCTTTATCGACGGGGAAATAAAGACGTTACATCAAAGACTCCCTCCACAAAAACATTTTACTGAGCACACACAGAGTTTGTGATTTACTTTGTTTGGAAACAATTATACTATTAATTTATCTCCTCCAGGTAGAGACCACATACGCCACTATTTCCGTCTACAGATGATTTCCTGTGAGCTCTTCACGCTGCATCTACAACCTTCTTAACAACACGTCATCATCTTCATCCATCGTGTGCTGCCGATAACTTCCTCCATCCTCTCACATTACAGCCTCCTGATTCCAACATGTGTTCCGTGTGTGTTTGTACAGTACGAGCCGGCCGCTCTCTGCGCTGGCTGGAAGCCGTCCAGGTGCTAAATTTGATATGGCCTCTACATATCTGACACCTTGCTCAAATATTTGAGCAAAAACACAATAGTCTGTGTGTGTGTGTGTGTGTGTGTGTGTGTGTGTGTTAGACGGAGCTGAGGCGCTGTGTTTAAAGTGGAGGCAAAAGAACCAGATACTGCCGCCGCCACACACTGTAAGAAATATGACTGCATGTGTAATTTAAACATGAACTGAGTGTTTAAATCAAACAAAATGTCCGACAACACGCTGCCATGAATTCACTTCCTGTGTGGTTTTCCTCCTGAGCTCAGAGCAGACGCAGTTATCTCTTCATACTCGTTTAAATTAAAAATAAAAATCAGATTTTGAAGCCAAACATGAGCCGGACAGACGGGCGACTTCTTCCTGTTAAATGCATGATGTGAGGAGCGTGTGTGTGTGTGTGTGTGTGTGTGCATGTGTGGTGCTGCAGTCAGGAGGTGATGTGTGGATCCAGGAGGAGAAGCTGTCCACCTCTGATCAGTGCTGGAAAAGGCCATTTTCTCCCAGGCTCACAGCCAAACACATGCATCTGTGTGTGTGTGTGTGTGTGTGTGTGTGTGTGTGTGTGTGTGAGGAGGTGGGGGGTGAGCTGAGAGGCAGCGAACTCTCTCATTTCTTGCCACCCCATCTGTTTTCAATGATGAAATGTTTGGAGCTAATTGCTTTCTAATTAGTTGTCAATAACAGGCTCAGCTGGTGTCCATGAGTTTTACGGGAAAAAGCCGCCAGACTTTTAAGCTACTGCTCGGTCCTTCCTGACCCCCCCCCCCCCCCCCCCCCCCCCCCCCCCCCCCCCCCCCCCCCCCCCCCCCCCCCCCCCCCCCCCCCCCCCCTCCCCCCCCCCCCTT